GTTATAAGTCCCCTAATGTGGGTTGTAAGGATAGTTACCCAACTTCTAACCTCTCACTTACCACTACCCATGAACCTCCAGATAGGGGCTGAAAGGGGTTTAGTTCTAGGGTTTCAGGGCTTGTGGTTTGGGGATTGGGTTCAGAGTTCGTGCAGGCAGTCATGGGGCAATCCAGAGGCGAACCACTTGCGGATGAACCTACTTACACAGGTTTTATTCAAGGTTTTTTTGGAGTTTACGGAGATGATAGACTTTAGAAGATTTTTGGTCTGTGGGTTTAGGGTTTACGGTTCAGGCGTTTGCGTTTTCGGGGTTCAGGGCTTGCGAGTTCAAGTGTGGGTCTGCAGCCGACTCTGAAGGTTTCAAGAAGGTCTGACCCCTAAGCCCTAGAGTAAACCCCAAAAAGTTGGAAACCGGATCAAGGACAATTAGTGCTCGGATTCCCCATACAGTACTCATTACTCTTAAGGATTGACACTGGTGGGTTTTCAACTTTTTGGCTTCTATTGTAAACCGGACGTGGCACACGAAGACAACCTGGGGGGTTGGGGACTTCATAAGTAGTTATCTTATAGAGATACCAGGTGTTAGGTTTAGGGTTTAGGGCTTAGAGTATCATCACCACAACTAGGATCCCTATTAGGGTACTTGTAAGTGTACTTATTACCCACTTACTAAGTCCCCGGACCCTCCAAGAAGGCAAGGAGCAGCCCCGCCTGTCCGTTAACCTGGCCCTTCTCCCCGGTGGAGCCCTCTTCTACTGTGTCAGGCTTACCTGTGACCGCAACCCTAAACCCTAAACCCTAAAGCCTACAAAATAATGGGTTCTATGACCTCTGAATTAGAGGGTAGAACCCTCAAAGCCATAGGTTTTTGGATCCCCCAGTATGGTCTCGGCTTAGCGTGTTAGGGTTCGGCTCCGGGTTAACCCTTCCCCAAAGAGCCCAATACTCCTTAGTTAAGGAAGATGCCTTAAACCATTATATGAAGCCCCATATGGTCATGGTTTAAGATATATACAGCTTAATTAAAGGGTATTGGGCTCTCTTAAGCCCCTTATAGTTAAGGCATATTCCTTTTAATGAAGGGGCATTGGGCTCTCTTAAGCCCCTTATAGTTTAAGGCATATTCCCTTTAATGAAGGGGTATTGGGCTCTCTTAAGCCCCTTATAGTTTAAGGCATATTCCTTTAATGAAGGGGTATTGGGCTCTCGGGGTCCGGCATGGTCTGGCTGACTCTTTGGCCGACAGCAGCACCGACAGCTTGAACGGGCGTAGACCCGAAGAACGGTTTATAACTGTTCACACGGTTGATGATATAAATCCTGCATTACCCATAATAAGGATTCAACCATAATTCCCATTGTTTAGGATCCTTAAAGTAATGCAGGATTTATATCATCAACAGTACCCCTATACCCTAAACCCCAAAACCCCTAAACCCCCAAAAAACCCCAAAACCCCCAACACCCAAAACCGTTGTCACGGGTGTCTGTAATTTGGCGCTGTATATTTCCCCACTCCCAATCTTGTGCTCCAGAAAGGCTCCCACTCGGCGGGTGGCCGGGAGCTAAGCGGGCTTCCCAGAGAGCCCAATACCCCTTAATTAAGGAATATACCTTATAAATTATAAGGGGCTTCATATTATGATTGAAGCTATATTCCTTAATTAAGGGGTATTGGGCTCTCTGGCTTCTTGCTGTTGGGAGAGCTGGCTTCGTTGTCTCCACCTTGGGGTGTTGAAGCACCGGGCCGGTTCTGTCTTCCATCCGCAGTTGTCCACGGGCAATCCCCGAGACTAGGGTTTAGGGTTTAGGGTTTAGGGAAACATAGGTAATCCCCCCATTCATTATAGCCCCTAGATATTTTTACGATGACATACCCGCAAACCTGAACCTAATTATTCAGGCCCTGACAGTGGAGGGAGTTGCAGGCTGAGCCCACCGCTAATGCATCCAATGCCGCCGTTGCTTCAGCTGGCTCAAGACGTTGGAGCAATACGTATGTGAAATCCATCTACATGACCGCAGATGTCTGCGGGGCGGCTCCTGATACTTGGCATCCTGACCTGGGCCAGGCTCACGGAAGGTCGGGGGTTCCTCATGCTAAGCCCACTCTAAGCCCCAAACTCGCACCCTTGACCCCAAAAGAGTCTTAAAAGCTAAACATCCCCCAAGACCTAAGCCGTTTTGAATCCTGAAGCCAACCCTAAACCCCTAAACCCTAAAACCCCAAAAGCGTCCGAAAAGATTGAAGCCCCCGAAGAAACCCCGAAAGCAAAAGCCTGTAATTCCTAAGGCCCCGACCCTAAACCTCCTAAGCCCCAATGGAGTGCTCCTCCCAGACAAAAAAACCCTCAACCCGAAGCCCTAAACCCTACCAGGTGTGCGTTCCCTGGCGAGGCCGGAGATCACCCAGCGCCTCCTGGACCGCCCTGTGCTTTCGTTGCTTCGGGGTCTTTTTGCCAGAGCTCCGTTTTTCTTGGGGGGGAGGAGGGCCGAACTCGCACGAGAGCACACAAGCACACACAAGGTCTCCACTCAGAGGAACTTCCGAGTTAGGGTTTGGGGTAATTACTTGGAGGTTCATGGGTAGTTATAACTAGGGTTATAAGTAGGATAACTATAGTTATAACCCATATACGGGGACTTATAACCCTACTTATAACCCTAAACCCTAAAAGCCCTATAGAACCCTTGAAAGGAATCCTTAAAGAAACCCGTTGGAACCTCCAAGTAGGGCCTCAAGGTCAGAACTGGGCTCTCTCTCAGCTGACTTGGCTAGAGACGGAACACGGCCTCCGAAACCCTAAACCCTAAGCCCAGTTGGAGCTTGTCGTTAAGGGGGCAGTCCTAAAAACCCTCAGCGTTATCAGCCCTAGAAGCCCTATCGACTGTACACCATCTACACCCAGGACAAACCCTAAACCCGATGCGCCGTACTGTTGCTGATATAAATCCTGCATTACGTTAAGGACCCTAAACCACGGGGAATTTGGTATATATTCCTTAGTGTGGGTAATGCAGGATTCCAAACCCTAAACCCTAAACCCTAACCGCCCAGAACCCTAAACCCTAAACCCTAACCGCCCAGAACCCTAAACCCTAACCGCCCAGAACCCTAAACCCTAAACCCTGAACTCAAAACAACAGTGGGGCTCCCGAACCGCAAGGTGAGGAGAAGTGCCAGCAGCAGCTGGACTCCCTGAAGAGGCTCCTCGCAAGGGCTTGCGAGGAGGATCTCTGGCCCAACAAGCGTTCCTGTAAGGTAGGGTTTAGGGTTTTTTGAGTTTAGGGGTTTAGGGGTTTAGGGTTTTTTGAGGTTTAGGGGTTTAGGGTTTAGGGTGATAGGGTTTAGAGGTTTACGGGTTTAGGCTGTAGGGTTATATTATAGGGTGAGAGAGAGAGAGAGAGAGAGAGAGGGTTTAGGGTTTATATTCCAGGCTTTAGGGTTTAAAAGGGTTCCGTTTAGGACTTTAAAAAGTGCCTTTCCAGGGTTCTGCAATGGTACGTACTATCATTGTTTCTGCGAGGGTACTTCAAGTGTCCTATGTTTTATAAGGAATTGTATACTGTAATCAGGGTACAATAAGAGTTCTGTAAGTATTCCTGTAAGGGCTTCTTTAATGGTTTTATACCCCTTCTACCATGATAGGATCCTGGGTTCGGGCAGAAAGCTTTGATTGGTCTTGGCAACATCTGGGGGTTTCTGAAAACAGGGGACCCTAACATGGTACCCTATAAAGTAGGATCCTTGTTATAAGGATCCCAAAATTCCCTAAACCCTAAACCCTAACCCTAGGTACCCTCTTATTTTCGGGACCTCCCATCTGGGTCGTCAATAGCTCCCTGCCTAGGGTTTTAGGAGTTTAGGGATCTCGAACGTGGGACCCGAAATCTATCTTTAGGGTTTAGGGTTCAGGGTTTAGGGTTAGGGTTTTATCACCTAAACCCTAAACCCTGTAGGGTTTACAAGAGACATGGGCGAGTTTGGGCAGAGGGGGGCTAGTTCATGCCGTTGTCGGCGAAGGCCCCAAACTAACCCTAAACCCTTTTAGGGTTTAGGGTATATAAGTCCAAAAACCTATAGACCCCCAACAACAAATCCCTAAAAACCTTAAGTCAAAGCGAGAAAGGACTTCCAGCGCCATGTGACGATCTCGGAGGGCGGCTGTGAGGCTGAGGCTGGAAACCTCTTCCTTCTCAGGGTTTAAGGTTTAGGGTTTAGGGAATTTTGTGATCTTCATGACTTCCACATGCGTTTACGGTTTTCACTTGTTGTCTTGAGTAAGATGATTCCTCAAAGCTGGGCTGTCCAACTGCATGGCTTGTCATGAGTACACGTGCGGGGTTGCACAGTCATGAGTGCTGCACTCCTCCACGGGGGCGGCAGTTCCGGGCGAGAGAAAAAGGGTTTAGGGCTCAGTAAACAATCCCGACGACTAAATGAAACCTGATGCAGGACCGCAGCAGCAGGATACGTGTAAGTTTGTCTCTTCAGGGGAGGTTCGTTTATGCAGAAGTCTCCACTGGCTATTTTGATTCTGGGCTTGGTCGTCAGGCTGAAGGCGTGGTGAGCCAGGGCGACTGGGCAGCTGGGCAGCTCGCGGTGGCGCGCAGAGCTACAGCATCGTCCTCGGCCAGGAGACTGTCGGAAGGATCTTCGATACCATTCTCTACAAGGCAGAACTGAAAGCCCTCGCCGAGGCGGCTCAGGAAGGGCTGGTGGTGGACGTGCTCTTCACCGATGCCAAGAGCGTGGACGACCAAGCCCTGGTGAGCAGCATCTTGTACCATCGCACTCGCCTGCTCTCCCCTATGGGAGAGGAGGAGTTTGATGCCACAACCTGGTTATATGGAGGCTGCCCAAAGGACGATCTGGCCTCCTGCTTCCCTTATTATGTGCTCGAGCCCAAGAGTACCCAGCTCCAGCGCCTGGTAGACGGAGCCAAAGAAGCAGAAGCCCAGTATGGCGGTGATGCATGGCGGGCTGCGCGCCCAAAAGCAAGTCACTGACCTCAAGCCATTCTGCAAGCTTTTCTTAGTTCGAAGCCGTGGGACGTCTCGTAGTGAGCCAGGTGGCCCAAGGGTGGTTTTCGTTCCCACACCTTTTATCCGGGGCTCGTCCTTCCGTCAAGGCGTGGCCGACGGCCGGTGCCAACAGCAGCTGGATGCACTGACGGCCTTGATAGCCGAGACGTGCCAGGAGGATCCCGGGCTGTAGCAGAAGGGCTCTTGCAGTCTTCCTTCCCAGAGAGCCCAATACCCCTTAAGTAAGGAATATAGCTTACATCATAATATGAAGCCTCTTAAAATATAAGGTATATTCCTTAATATAATTAAGGCGTATTGGGCTCTCTGGGCTCGGGGTTAGGAGGAAGCGTGAAGCTGCCGCTGCCTTCATGTGAGGACGCAAATAGAGGGTGGCCGGTGTCGGTGGGTGGCTGCGAAGCGGAGGCGGGAGATGAGAAACCTTCCCAGCGCCCGACCAAATTGAAACCGAGGACTATCCTCCTCGTGGCAGGAAAGGCCCAGAACACCAGAAATTTGCACTCGAGCGAGGCTGCAGGCGTCGTGTACCTCGGCGATTTCGAGGTCTGGTCAAAGAGCCTAGTGGCTTGCGGCAAGGACGGGGCCTGGGGTTTTGGGGAAGAAGGCTTACAATAGGGTTCAAGGGTTTAGTGTTTAGGGTTTATAGGGTTCAAGGGTTTATAGGTTGAAGCGTCTGGGATTGAGGGCTTCGGTGCGCCATGCGGCAAGTCTCAGCGATGTCTGGCACGTGTAGTAGAATCCCAGATCGAGTTCCATGAAGTTACGACGGCATGTTTAGCATGCCAAAATAGTCGCAGTCGTTTCCCAGATGGTCTTCTCCAACTGGCGTTCTAACGAAATACAGTGCTCTTGGTCCAAAGATGGTCCGTCCGGTGTTTCATGGATGCGGGGAGCTAGCAGGGAGGATGCAGGTGACACGAGGTGATTGGGTGCTTTCCAGGCGCAGAGACTTTTCAGAGCCACAGTATCGGGTCTTTCCCGGAAGAGCAGCTAAAAAGATAGATCGACAGGTTTGCATATCGACAGCCAGGACAAGCGGTACTTGCTCCTGTGGAGCGGCTTCAAGGAAGAGGAGCGCGAGGAAGTTCTGTGGCCGCTGAGAAGCCGCATGGGTGGCTGCGCGCTTCAGACGAAAGCGCCAGAAGACACCGCCCTTTCGAAGCTTCTCAACGATGAGAGGGTGAAGGTCTTGCAGGATTGTCCCTGGAAGGTGACGAAACCGTTCTGGGATGGCGCTTCCCGCAACTTTGCCGGCATGTGGGCGTCTCGAGGGCCGTCAAATGTCATCGTCGCCATGGGCTACCACAGAGACCCAGGGCACACCTACAAGACCATGTTCAACACAGTGTTCTACAAATCGGAGTTGAAGGCGTTGGCCCAGGCCAGCCGCGGAGCATTGATAGTGCGGCTTGTCTTCACCAACCCTGGAATGAAGGGTGCGGAGATGGATTCTGCGACTGCAGTGGCTTTCGAGCGGGCACGGCTTATTTCGCCTCTCGGAGACAGTTTTGAGCACGACACGATGTGGGGGTTCTATGGATGCAGCGACAAGAAGACAGACCTTGACTCCTGTGTAGACTCTGACGACGGAATTCTTTTCGTCCCAGACTCTTCCACCGGCAACCTGGGCCTCATGTACTGGAAAGGCTTGGGCGTGCGGCAGGACTACAGCAAAGCCGTGGAGCTCCTCGAGAAGTCTGCGGACCTCGGCAACTCTGTCGCCATGTTCAACTTGGGATCCATATACTATGCGGGCGTCGGCGTCCAGAAGAATCTCAGCAAAGCGCTGGCGTTTTATCAGCAGGCTGCTGACCTTGGTGACGCCAACTCCATGTTCAAGCTCGGCCAAATGAACGAGGCCGATGAAGGGGGGAAACAAAATTACACCAAGGCAGCTGAATGGTTCCAGAAAGCAGTGGACCTTGGTTGGGTGAAAGCCATGGAGAGCCTGGCCAACATGTACGAGCACGGCCGTGGCGTGCAGAAGAACCTCAGCAAATCTGTGGAGCTGGAACACAAGGCTGCGGACTTTGGCAGCGCAACAGCCATCCTCAACCTGGGGAGGAAGTACAACTTTGGTGAAGGCGTCGTGCAAAACGACAGCAAAGCTGCACAGCTCTACAAAAAGGCCGCGGACCTTGGTAGTGCCCATGCCATGCTCAACCTCGGACTTATGTATTACTTTGGTGAAGGTGTCCAGCAGAACTACACCAAGGCGGCTGAGTGGTTGCAGGAGGCAGCGGACCTTGGTCGGCTGGCAGCCATGACTACCTTGGGCAGCATGTACCAGCGCGGCCTTGGCGTGGAGACGAATCACAGCAAAGCGGCACAGCTCTTCAGCAAGGCCGCGGACCTGGGTGATGCAGTTGCCACGTTCAACCTGGGAAGTATCTACGAGTTCGGACACGGCGTTGAGCAGAACGACAGCAAAGCCGCAGAGCTATACAGAACAGCCGCGGACCTTGGTAATGCCGCTGCCGTGTTCAGCCTCGGAAATATGTATCACTTTGGTGGAGAAGGCGTCGAGCAGAATGACAGTAAAGCTGCACAGCTCTACAAAAAGGCGGCGGACCTTGGCAATGCCCACGCCATGTTAAACCTTGGAAGTATGTATTCCCTTGGCCTGGGCGTCGAGCAGAACGACAGCAAAGAGGCACAGCTGTACAGAAAGGCAGCGGACCTGGGTGATGCTGAGGCGATGTTCAGGCTGGGCGTCATGTATTATGATGGCCGTGGGTTGCAGGAGAACCACACCAAAGCAGCCGAGTTCTACCAAAGGGCGGCAGACTTGGGCCATGTCCAGGCCATGCTCGATTTGGGAGAGATGTATCACGAAGGTGATGGTGTGCAGACAGACTCTGCCAAATCTGCGGAGCTTTTCCACAAGGTGGAAGCTCTGCAAAACCTCCAGTAGCATGCCGCGGAAAGGGGCCCGCTGCACAAACCCTAAACCCTAAGCCTTTCTGCCTTTTTTTCCGGGTCCTTTGGCGAGCAATTCTTGTTCAGAATTCGGTGCTCAGGCAGGAACCAGAAGGATACTTTGCTTCTAACCCTAAGGCTCTAAGGACTCATATTTTAAGGCTCTAAGGGCCCAAGGACCATACTGTATAAGGCTTTTGGGCTATTTTGAGCCTTACTTGGAGGTTCATGGGTAGTTATAAATGGGGTTATAAGTAGGGTAACTATACATACTAGGGGACTTATAACCCC